TCCCAACCCCCCCGTTTGTCCCCAGGGGTCCCCCCGCAGCTGCCACAGGTGACGAGAGGGGACAAACCCGCTGCTCACGTCGTGGGTGAGTGGGAGACACGGGATGGGGGGATTTGGGGGGATTTGGGGGGTCCTGGGGGGGCACAGAGGGACCTTCAGGGAGGGTTGGGGAGGGCACAGCCAACCCCAGGGATTTGGGGGTTTTTTTGGGGTTTTTTGGATTCCTGATCTCTGTTTTTACCCCCAGCCTCCTCCTGGCCCTCCTCCCGTGGCTCTCTGATTTGGGAAGCAGGGTTTTTTAGGGTTATTTTTAGTTTTTTAGTTTTTAATTCCTGTTTTTTCCCCCCAGCCTCCTCCTGGCCCTCCTCCCGTGGTTCCCTGATCTGGGAGGCAGGGTTTTTTGGGTTTATTTTATTTTATTTTATTTTTAACCCCTATTTTCTCTCCCCAGCCTCCTCATGGCCCTCCTCCCGCGGCTCTCTGATCTGGGAGGCGGGGATTTTTGGGGTTTTTTTCAGGTTTTTAGTATCCTAACCCCTATTTTCTCTCCCCAGCCTCCTCCTGGCCCTCCTCCCGTGGCTCTCTGATTTGGGAGGCAGGGTTTTTAGGGTTATTTTGATTTTATTTTGTTTTTAACCCCTATTTTCTCTCTCCAGCCTCCTCCTGGCCCTCCTCCCGTGGCTCCCTGATCTGGGAAGCTGGGTTTTTTAGGGTTATTTTTCGTTTTTTAGTTTTTAATTCCTGTTTTTTCCCCCCAGCCTCCTCGTGGCCCTCCTCCCGCGGTTCCCTGATCTGGGAGGCTGGGTTTTTTGGGGTTTTTTTTAGGTTTTTGGGTTTCTAACCCCCGTTTTCTCTCCCCAGCCTCCTCCTGGCCCTCCTCCCGCGGCTCTCTGATCTGGGAGGCAGGGTTTTTTTAGGTTTATTTTATTTTTAACTCTGTGTTTTCTCTCTCCAGCCTCCTCGTGGCCCTCCTCCCGCGGTTCCCTGATCTGGGAGGCAGGGTTTTTAGGATTTTTTGGGGTTTTTGGGTTTCTAACCCCCATTTTCTCTCCCCAGCCTCCTCGTGGCCCTCCTCCCGTGGCTCTCTGATCTGGGAGGCAGGGTTTTTTTAGGTTTATTTAGTTTTTAACCCCTGTTTTCTCTCCCCAGCCTCCTCCTGGCCCTCCTCCCGCGGTTCCCTGATCTGGGAGGCAGGGTTTTTTTTAGGTTTATTTAGTTTTTAACCCCTGTTTTCTCTCTGCAGCCTCCTCGTGGCCCTCCTCCCGCGGTTCCCTGATCTGGGAGGCTGGGTTTTTTGGGTTTATTTTATTTTATTTTATTTCTAACCCGCGTTTTCTCTCCCCAGCCTCCTCCTGGCCCTCCTCCCGCGGCTCTCTGATCTGGGAGGCTGGGTTTTTTGGGGTTTTTTTTAGGTTTTTGGGTTTCTAATCCCCATTTTCTCTCTCCAGCCTCCTCCTGGCCCTCCTCCCGCGGTTCCCTGATCTGGGAGGCCGGCGTGGCCCCGGCGCTGGTKCAGAACGGGGTCCGTCTGCGGGGCAATCGTTTGGTGGTTCCYCGGGACGGGCTCTATTTCGTGTACGCGGCCGCGGCGTTCCAGGGCTGGCGCTGTCCCTCGCGCTCCCCGCGGCGCCCGCTGCGCCTGGCGGTGTCGCGATTGTCCCCAGAGTACCCGCGGGAYGTGCCCCTGCTGCGCGCCGCCCGCTCCGTGTGCCACACCGGGAACAGCCCCGGGCTCTGGGTGGAGTCCCTGTACCAGGGAGCGGTGTTCCAGCTGCGCCGCGGGGACCAGCTGGCTGCAACAACCACTGCGGGGAGGTTCCTGGATCTGCACGGGGCGGGACAGGCGTATTTCGGGGTGCTGGGGGTGGATTAGGGGTGCAGGGTTCCTGTTCCAGCTGCGC